ATTTGTTTCGTTAAATGTACTTTAAAAGCCATTGAATAAAAATAGTTGTTATCAAATTTAATCCGTAGTGGTGAAATCTCTTAGTCAAGAAAACAATATTATTGAAGATGTTAGTGACATTAGAGACAAAACATTGAGAACAATTATAAATATGTTATACAAATCAATTCAAACAATTTTCGATTCCTAACTACATAATGAGTTCAAAATAACATTTCTCAAACACAAGCAGAGACAAAGAAATTGCCGAAAAGTATAAATTAATCCAATTTTTTTTTTTTTTAAATATTAGGTAAAGCATTATAGTTTGCATTAGATGCTATAAATTGGAGACACGGAATTACTCCAGAAAGAGAATAAAATAAAATAAAATAAACAGGATAAAATATGTAATATATGTAGAAAGAGAAAACGTGATGAAATGTTTTTTATAATGTAAGATGAGTATTTGGTAATTTATCATTAGTTTAGACGTGTAAGCTAATAGCAAGTTGTTTAACGATGCACGTTTTTGCTTTAGATAGGGAACTCATGTGATAACTTAGCTTTATGACTTAATGATGACAGAGTATTGATGTTCCATAAATCACCACTTAATTACCAAATAAGTATTCAAAATATTGCATGTCATAACATTATCGTAGATTTCCGGACACCTCTCTACTTTACCGCTTAAACATATTTAACTTATAGTATTTAAAAAGATATTATATTATTTTTATACATCATATATGTCCTATATGTATTCATAAATTGAATGATAGTATAAAAATTATATTCGACCACATAAAAAAATTCTAGAATTTTCCTCTAATTTCTGGAACATGTTCTCCATTCTGGAAACTATTTATGAAAATGTATTTTATCCCAAAATTAATTTTTGGAACCCATTCTACAATCCAAAAATAATTTATGGGTCGACTATTCAAAATTCACGTGTTGGGTTTCTCTGCTGTGGATCCATTTATCTCGGCAAATAAATTTGGAATCCCTAAGGCACTCGTCATTCTATAATTGCCTTGTGAACTTTAAACTAATTTGCTTAATTCAGTATTTATTTGGATTATTCAACACGTGGGGAATCGCAGATTTCATACTATGGACATGTGAGCCAATAAACTTTATTTAGTCCTTAGTAATAACGGTAGCATGATATATCTTGACACCATCATATATGTACAATGCTCTTACTTTTAGTGGCAAGGATACATTTTAGATTTTGCTTTCAAAAGTGGAAAATCTAAAATATAATACATCCAACATTGATAACACAAAATTATTATAAGATGAGATAACAATTAGGTATTTAATTAGTTAAACTTTTTTAATATAGTACAAATACTTATAATAATAAATATATTATAATTTTTTAATATGAAATATCTGCATAATGTAAAATATCATAATTATATACATATTAAAATATTTTAATATGAAAATATATCACATGGTATAAATATGTAGAAATTAAAATGATATTTAATAAACTAAGGAATTTTTTTTATCAGAATATATTCCGGATAGTCCCATGTGGCCACGTGGAATCTTTGAGGAAATGTCCTGGATGGGTGGCATAGTTTGCTTTTTACTTGACCAATTTCTAATTAGGAGACCACACCATAAAATAAGGAAAAATCTCCCCTATAAAATCTGCCCTCTCCTCATCAAACACACTTCATCTCAACAAATACAAGACAATCCAAACAAGGCACTTGCAATAAAAGAGAGAAAACCCACACAAACCAGGAAGAAAANGAAAAAAAAAAAAAAAAAAGGCAAAATGAAAATGATGAACAGCATCGTAAAGAGAAGGTCTTCGAGTGGAGGGCTCGCAAGGGTTGTAAGAGAACAAAGGTCGAAGCTTTACATCATTAGAAGATGCGTTGTTATGCTCGTTTGCTACCATGATTAGTCGGCACTGATTATTAGTTAGGATTTTCATTTTATTTCCTTTTTTCATTGTTCTTGTTAACTGTTTTTAGGATAGAGTTCGTGAATAGCGGGATGAGTTTAGTGGTGATTTGGCCTAATGGCCTTTTTCTTGTATAAATATTAAGGCCCCGTTTGTTTTTCAACTTTTTTGCCAAAAAGTTGTTTTAGCGGTTTTGACCGAAATGGGAAGAAATAAAGTTGGTTTTTTGCTGTTTGCCAAAATATTAATTATTTTTATTTCTTAAATATTTATGAGTTCTACATAAATAAGAACAATAAAGTATGTTGATGTCCTTATAAATAATTTTTACATGTTAATGGCTAATTAAAAATAGCTAATTTTACCAAACACTCTTTTACAAACCGCTAGCACAATCAGTTGATCAAAACAGCTAACGCAATCTGCTGGTCAAAACAGCTAATGCAATCCGCTAACAGTTAATCGTTGATTACAAGTCCTAAATACAGTGATATGTATGATTTAATTTGTATTCAATTTTTAGGACTTGGGTTTGTGTTGATTTCGCCTCATGGCCTTTTTCTTATTATTATTATTATTATTATTTTCGGATGATAGGGAAGCCTAATAAAATGGGTAAATTTAGAAATTATTTATCATCAATTAATCAATGATATTTTTGCTCACCCTTTTTTTTGGGTCCAAATTGCGTCTGAGCATCTCGCAGTGATCAATGTGTTCCTTAATTTTCTTTTATTTGGTCCAAATGAAAAAATAAAAAGATTGAATATTGGCTCGAGTTTCACTCGCTTTTAACATTTATTTGATTTCTTATCAATCGTTCAAGTGGATATGAACTATTTTTTCCTTCTTTTTTTTTACAAAATGATAGATGTACGTAGAGCTGTCAAAATGGCCCGACGCCCGCAATAGGGGCGGGTTGGGCCTGTATTTTCTAGGTCCGCCAAGTAGCGGGCATAAACGGGCCAGCCCGCGCGGGCCGCGGGTTTGGGCGGGGCAGGGCTGGCTGGCCTGCATAAAAAAAGAAATAAATTATATATATTCTGTAGATATTGTAACTGGATCTGGTATATGTAACATTAAATAATGAAAGGAAAAACTAGAACAGCACTCCTCACAGAAGAAAAAGAAAAAACTCAGCAGTTCGCACAGTCGCAGCCTCCCTCTTCGTCTCCTCGCCTCCGCATCAGACAATCGAATCCGGCCTCTGCTCCACCTACGACCGTTATTTCCGGCCTTCGCCTCCGCCTGCAACCACCAAATCTGACTTGTACTCCACTTGCGACCATCGAATCTAGCTCCCGCCTCCAT